TTTCGCTCTAATAGTGCGATGTAAATGTCGAGCCTCTATCGGAGACTATCCCCTTAGGGGTTCCCTAATAGGTATAGAAGATGTCAGTCTATAGCGCCTTAGCTAGGTTAATAGCCGTCTAATCCTTTCGGGTAGGAATGTAACGAGCGCCCTTAGTAAACCGGTCTACGATAACTAGGATAGCATTATACATATCCTTACTTCCTCTACGCTTAGTAGGCGGAAGGCCTATAATAAAATCTATTGTAAGCTTAGCAAATAGCTTCTTTAGAATAGGGAGTAAAGACAACTCGCCAAATAGTAAGTGCTTTAGTGCTTTAACTCGTTAATATACGGCATACGTATTTACGTAGTCCTTTATATCCCGCTTACTATTTAGCTAGTAGTATATACGCGATAGTAGCTCGTACGACCTCTCTATACTATAGTAACCGGCAAGCTTACTATTATAGTGTCGCTTAAGAAGTTCTTGTCGGATCGAATGTTTAGCGGGGATATAGTATCTGCCCTTAAACTTTAAATAACCTTTGTTATCGATCGACTAATTGTTACTCTTACTAGATCGAGTCTTTCGCCCACTTACAAGCTTGTCTATACGTTTAGTAGCAAAGGCGTCCCTCTGCTAAGCCCGTAATAGCTCATCTATAAACGATTAACTATCCCTATTTACAAGGTTATTTAATAGCACCCTCGCTATTAAACGAGGTACGTATTATATACATCTAATAGCACTAGTAGCCGGATTAACTATAGCAGTGCTATCGCTGTTACTATATATAGCGATGTCGACTAGGGAGTTATTATAACTTCTCCTATCTATGTCCTTAATACGCACTATTAATATAGCAAGAGTATTAATATGCTTTAAGCCGTCGCAGAGTCTAGTAAGCCGCTTATCCTACGCTTACTTATTAACAATACGGGCTATAGCAATCTTATACTATAGGGTTAGAAACAATAAATTAATAGATTGCTAAGTCCCGCTATCGTAATTAGGTCGCCTCGATAGGCTATTAGCAGGGTTACTTACGCCTAGCCGATATAATATATCAAAATCAAACCTAGCGAGGTAGACGGCCTATCTAGCCTATCGACCTATAACCCTAGTAACCTTCGTAATTCTACGGAGGTTGTTATAGTCTGTATAGACCTGTATTGTATATTAAGCCCTATCGAGGTAGTGCCTCTAATGCTTAAAGGCCTCGATAATAGCTAGGAGCTCTTGCTCGTAGGTCTCGTAGCGACGTTTAGCATTAATTATCTTCCTTAAGAAGAAGGCAATCGGGTACTAGTAGGTATTATTAGCCTACTGTAATATAATAGCTAATATAGCGAACTGTAAAGCGTTAGTCTCAATTCGGATCTGTTTGCTTAGTACGAAATAGTGCAATAAGGGGACTTTAGTAAATCGTTTCTTTAAACCGTTAAAAGCGGCTTATATCTTATTAGTCTATCTAAACTCTCTAGATAGATTAGCCTTAGTTTTAGTAAGCTTAGTTAATAGCATTACATGCCTCGAATAGCCCTTAATAAATCGGCGATAGAAGTTAGCAAAACCGAGGAACGACTATAGTTCCTTAATTGACGTAGGAACAGGCCATTTAGTAATAGTTTTAATCCGATTAGGATTAGCCTTAATACCCTTAGTTAATACGAGGAAGCTAAGGAAGGACACCTCCTTAGTAGCAAAGGTACATTTAGAAGGCTTGTAATACAGGCTATAGGCCCGTAGGCGGTCGAGGACCTTTCGTACTATAGCCTAGTATTCTGCAATATTAGGTAAGTGTATATAAACTAGGATATTATCTAGGTAAACTATATAGAGGTATTCCAATAGGCCTAATAGGGCCCGATTAATATAGGACTAGAATATTGCAGGGGCGTTTACTAGCCTAAATAGTATAACTAGATACTCGAAATAGCTATAGCGGGTACGGAAGGCTGTTTTCTATTTATTACCCTTACGGATATAGATACGATAGTATACATCCTTAATGTCTAATATAGTATAGTAGTAAGCACTAGAAAGGCGATCGAGGGTCTTATTAATAAGAGGAAGTAGATAGCGGTCTTTAATAGTAACAGCGTTAAGCCTACGATAATTAATATATAGGCGTAGGCTACTATCCTTCTTTAGTACGAACAGGATAGGGGCGCTAGTAGGGCTATTACTATACCGAATGCGACTATTAGCTAGGTTTTCCTCTAGGTACTTACGCAATATAGCAAGCTCTCGTTTACTAAGGTTGTAGAGGGGGCTAAAAGGGACCTCCTTACCCTCTATAATATTAATCTTATAATCCGTCTCTTTGAATATAGGCAATGTCGATGCTAAGTGGTATTTAAACACATTAATATAGGTTTCTCGAATAGGCTCCGGTATGCGAGCAAGCTAATTAGAGTCTATACTATTAGGGGGCATAGGCTTATCGTTATCGCCTAATAGGTCGACTGTTAGGTTAGCTACGGCAGGTATTAGGTTGCCGATAAATAGGACCCTAATATCGTTAGGGCACTCGCTAATATCGATATGTTTAATGTCCTCTTTCCTAGCGATCCTAAATCGCTACTATTAACTGCCTAAGTCTATAACTATAGTATAGTACTTAAGAACAGGGTTGCTAATAACAATCTTAGATAGGAGGCTGTCTATATCTACTGCGTAGGTAGTAAAGTTTAGTAGGCGCTTATTGCCGAGGTCGTCTCTTAGGGCTATATAGATATAGTAGGCTCCGTAGGTTAAGTGCCGAGCGTTATTAAACCAAGTAAGGGTTAGCAGGTTAGTCCTAGGCAGTTGTCGAAGGTCTAATTGCTTAGCTAGGCGATAGCTAATAAGGGCGCTAACTAAATTTCCTAGGTCTAGCGTAACCTTAGTCTTATAGTTATTCCTATATATATCTCCTACGAGACAGGTGCGTATAATAGCTAGCACTATATCGATAGTTTTACGCCGTATAAGGCTAACAATTAGTACGGCGCTTACTCTTTTTTCGAAGGACCGATAGGGGTAGCATTAGCGGCTAAAAGGTGCTTACGGTACTTAGCGGCAGCACGGTCGATTCGGGCTTAGTCTCTAGGTTTGTCGCATTAGCCTAGTAGATAACTAGTGCTATTATAGTTAAAGCACTTTAATCCGGTTAGGAGATTGTTGCCGTAGCTATTGTTGCTACTATTGTTAGTCGAGCGGTTAGCATTATAGGGATACGAGCCCCTTCTACGGCCCCTATCGCGGCCTCCTCTATATAGCCGCCGGCTACGGCCTCTTCTACGATCGTTACTGTTCCTATTGTTAGCATTGTTGTCTTAGTAGGAACCTTGGTTTCCTCCGCGGCTACGGTTGCTATAGTTGCTAGCAGGTCGGATCCTTAATTCTAGCCGTTACTAAAGCTAAACAGCTCGTTCGGCTGTTTCTACTTCGACTATAAATTAAATGCGTATTAGGTTAGCCTGTTCGAATATACGGCGGCGGTCTAATTCGAGGACTAGTTCCTATCGCAATTTAGGGCGTATTTCGGAAATCTAGATAGAGTCGGTCTTAGCTAGCAAATCGTCCTTAAGGGTCTTTAAATAGGCCTTAAATAAGCGAGCCGATTAATTAGTCTTTTGTTTAGCTCGAAGGTATTAGTCCTAAGCGTATTATTGCCTTAGTATAGGGTTTCTAAGGGTGTCTAGTATAATGGTCTTATAGTCTTGCTACTAAACAGCGGTCTAATTAGTAAGGGAGTCGAAATAGTTATCCTAGGTACGTTTTAGGTCTCTATTAATGTATTACATAGCATAGACAACTAGCGAATAGTCGTCTAGCAGGGCCCTTAGTGCATTCCGCTAGTTCAATTCACAATTACGTATGTAATTATTATACTGCTTGCGGCTAGAGCCATTAAATATAGTATAGTCTTTAAGCTTAGCATCCTTCTTTTAAATAGAAGGTCCTACTACTAGTTCTAGTCTAGCAGTAGTTGTTAGGGCTTCCTATAGGCGGCGAATCTCGAGGAGGTTATCCTTTAGCTATTGTTCTTAACGTAGGGCAGTAAGCCTATTTTAGGTAGCTTCTTAGAGTCTCCCTACTAGTTAGGGCCTAAAGGCTAGTTAGCTATATCGACGGTTAACAATATTGTTAAGAATATCGTCGACAGGCAATTCTAGGTCGTTACCTAGAATTATAGGTTCTTCTTTAATAGGCTCTCTAGTAGGCTCTTTAGTAGGAGGCACTTTAGTAGGCACTTTAGCGGGAGCTATGCTACTAGCGTTGTTATTGCTAGCGCTGCTAGCGGTAGTACGGTTATTGTTGCTTCGTAATAAGCCCGCTATTGTAAGGGGTAACACTAATAATGTATTATAGGCCCCTAAGATACGGATATAGCGGAATTAGTAGATATCGGCTTAGTACGATTAACTCGGTATAATAGGCCGTATAGAAGGCCTTGCTTAATAATTAGTACGGTTGTTTCGATAGAATAGTACGTATAGGTCCCGTTCTTCGGGCGTAGTATAGTTAGATTAGTTATTATAGCTATACCGCTAAAAGCTTAAAATAAGGACTATCTAGCTACTACCCTTAAAGGGTAGATCGAATACTATATAAGAAGGGTTATATTAGCAGGTAGATAGGGTAGTAGTAAATTAGTATAGTATTCGATAAGGATCTAGGAGGAGAGGGAGGAAGGTAGGAGAGTTAGCCTAACGCTAAGCGCTAAGCCCTACCTAAGGTATCGAGACCCTAGCTTTACTCGGCCTAGTTATATGCTAATTACGTATAGCCTCTTTAGCCCTAATAACTAGTTTTATTATCGTCGCTATAGATTCTAGTATAGAGAGGTTATAGTCTTCGCAGTATCTAGTTCCGAGGCGATAGAGGACCGCTATACTAGTTAGACGCGGGCACTAACATCCAAGATGAATTTTCTATATACAGATTCAAATTGTCCGGGAACATCCGCACCACTGGTGGATGAAAAACACCCACCATTGCAGGGTTGTGCTCAACAACGTTCGCCGGAATGGCGCAGTGGTGTACATTTCACGCTTCCATATGCACTCCGCGAATACTGACATTGCGGTAGAACGCGTCGCACTTGTACAGACAGGCATGCGAAGATCCCTAGTTCAATTCTGGGTTTCGGCAGCTTTTTTTGCTGTTCTGGTGTCCTGCTGTCTGTCCTTGGAACATACCTTTGATGTCCGAGTGTGAGGGAAGAAGGGCGTCTTCTGTTTTATGCGATGCACATGCAATCCACCGCACAACAACCTGGAAAGTGACGAAAGTGGGGGCTGGGAAAGGCAACGCTGAATCATGCACACCCGCATTGGAATCCCTCCCTTCCCGACGTCTCTTCTTACCATCCCGCTCTCATGGCGAGCGAGCCCGACCTGGACCCGAATAATAATGCAGCGCTAGAGCTGAAGAACACGGTGGTTTCCCTGTCCTATCGCGGTATGGCTGCAAGGCTCCTCAGGGTCTCGGGTATGGACTGACCTTTGCGCCTACTTTTCTAGCACCCGGACGAATTGCAGATCCGAACTTCAAGTTCTTCCAGGAGCCAAGAGCACACCCCAAGCTTGTGGAAGCATTCCGAGCCTTTGGATTCGACGGCAGTCAGCCTGACCCATTCTCACAGATCAGATGGGATGACCCGGGTTCGAGGAGCCAGATGGCCTGGAGCGAGGCCACGACGACCAAGCTGTACAATACAATGCCAAATGACCTGCCGGAAGACGATGATGAGCCCAGCGTGAAGCAGGAGACCACGACTTTCACAACTTTCGATGGAACAGAGCGTAAATTGTATGTCTTTAGACCAGCCGCCCACGAACAAATTCTACCATGCGTCCTGTACTTCCATGGAGGCGGAATGGTCATCCTGGACACTGCCAACAAGGTGCATTTCCGCTGGTGTCTATCTCTGGCAGCGCAAGGCATTGTCGTAATCGCTGTTGATTTCAGGAATGCTTATTCTCGGGGCAAACACAATCCCTTCCCAACAGGTTTGAAGGACTGCGCTTCAGCTGTTCGACATATTGCATCCAACAAGTCAAGCTTCAAAGTTGGCAAGATCACCCTGCATGGCGAAGACGGAGGAGGAAACCTTGCACTTGCGGCGGCTTTGATGTCCAAGAAGGAAGGCTGGATCGATGACATTGCAGGTGTCTATGCGTATTCCCCATGTATTAGCAATGGCTACGGGTGGAGCGACGCACGAAAGCTGAAGGAGCTGCCGAGTCTTTACGAATGTGAAGGTATGCTTCTAACTAGCAACAATGATTACACAAGCTGAAATATTGATTTCCAGGTTATTGGTTATACACCACAATGCTCGCCGGGATGGCATTCTACTACAGCGGGGAGGACATTCGGAATCCTTTGGCCTGGCCCCATCACGCCTCCATTGAGGACTGCGTCGGCTTGCCCCCTCATGTACTGGCCATGGACGAGCTGGACCCATTAAGAGATGAAGGCATGGCCTACCATCGCAAGCTCCTTGCCGCTGGCGTTGAAGCTAATGCTCACGTAAATCTTGGAGTAGTACATGCCACAGCTCTCATGTTTCGGAAACTAATACCAGAGGCGCACTTGAAAGTCACTCGAGATGTTGCAGCATTTGTAAAGAGTCTCTGAGCCGGCTTCCTCACTTTCGATGTCGCAAGTGTCGATCCCTCGATCACTTGTGCATAGACGAGATGGGAGCAAGTGTCTGGCCAAACGGGCAACTCACCGTCTTACTGCAAGCGACTTGATACATCCACCTGTTACAACGCCGTCTTCCTGCTTAGCAGACGCTCATGCAGTCGCCCACGCTATAATTCGTTAGATCGTCTGGTGGTATTGGCTGCTAGCGTGAGGCCGAGGCATGATGCAAGTGGACGTCGATGAGGTAAACCTATAAATATCAGCCTTTGGAAGGACCCAAAAACCGTTGCAAACCAGCCTCATCTGTGAAGAACAAAGCCCAGGAAAAATTAGAAAATTGATTATTGCGGTCCATCACATCCTCAGCATAATGGCACCACTTCGAGCCGTCTTGAGCTTCCTTCTCGCGACACTAGCGGTAGCTTCTCCGACAACCGTCGAACGCAGACAAGAGCTCATCACAGCTCAAACGATCAATCAAGATGTCCTAAACATTCATGCTGGCGTCCAAAGCCTTCGCACACACGTTGCTACCTATGACGGATCTCTACTCTCTGAGACGCCTTTGCTGGGCGACTTCACGGCAATTCACCTCGCCAATCGAAAGGGTTTCGCAGACGCGAATTTGAGACAAACCCCCTTCGACGCTCAAGAGTCCACCAGCATTGTTCAGACAGTAATCGACACTGTAGGGGAGAGCATTCCGGCGGCGGTGGAAGAGGCCAAGGCCAAGAAGCCACTGTTCGACCAGAATGGACAAAGTCCAATCATTGTTGGGACGCTGAAGGTGTTGTTGGATGACCATGATACGTTTTCAGCTGCAGTTGCAAAGAGTCTATCAGCGGATCAAGTCCGTGCTCAGGCGGTGGTAGCGAAGATCCATAATGCAATTCAGAGCGGCATTGACTATTTCAGCGCGTGAGAGGTCTCTATAAAAGATAGCATCGATCTGAAATGAGCAGCATGATCGTCTTTTTCCGATTTCACATTGCTTCCAGGAACTACGATTTACCGTCGACCTTGATTGCAGATTTTGTGGTCCTGTTTCTCCACGGCTCGGCACCAATTTCTCTGCCGAAGACAATCGGCAGGCGGTCTATGGAAAGAGACACTGCATCTTGAAGCGAGCACGAGTGTAGTTGGGTCTGGTCCGATCTCTGAATTGCTCAAGAAGACTTCTTCATCCCTATGGTCGGCACGCAGAAGTGGACCGAAATCCGTTCAAGACACGAAACGTGGAGTTTACAAGCCACCACGAACGTCGACGTTGGCATCCTTGAGGATGTTTTACGGGCCTTATGTTAAGCATGTATGGCCGGTCTCTCGGCAACCTTCAACTCTTCGAGATTCCAGAATTGGCCTTTGCACCACCATCCTTTGCCTGTCTTACGTGCTTCGAGCTCCGCATTTTGCAGGTATACCCTATGATCGAGGTAGACGAAAATGGTCCGAGGGGCTGTTTCTGGCGGTCGTGAACATGTGGCTAGACTCCGGTTGAAGGAATTCCCAACCAAGGGAGTGCTTGCGAGTATCTGTTCGCCTCACCCGTGCGACGTGTCACATCTTAAACATCGTAATGGCGATCCAAGCACAGACGACTCGATGGACAAAGTGTGCCATGCGCACGTGGTAATAAGTCGGTTCTTTGTACATACATACCAGTGATCGTGCGATCAGATAGCAGTCTCACGTCCGTAGTGAGGTTTCACCAGGTAGGAGAAATATATAGCACAATAGCACATGGTGCTATGGACGTGCACACCAGAAAATGCAGTGCATGAATCGCCGAGCAGGTTTTGTAGATCGATCATCGAGCCTCGCCATCATGATTATGAGGACGAGCGGTAGATTCCGGGATTCCACAAGCATTGGAGCATAGCATTAGCAGGAACTCCCCGCCCGTCCCACATCTTGCTTGCTCCTCGAGGCTAAACCGAGCCCCAGCTACCCGCCCGAGCCCTAGTATACCCCGATGCTAGCACCATTGTAGAATCGCCCTATATAGAATTACGTGCTCTTTCTACCTAATACAGGTCATTTCCGTTCTTAGTTAGTATTATTAACGGGCGCGTAGCGCGTTATCTAGGAAAGAATTCTACTTAATTCTACCGTAGACCTAAAATTCGTATTTCTTCCCCCTTTTATAGTAGATTGCCTAGTAACTATTAAAAATAGCTAAATCTCTATTATACGACGAGTTTCTCGATAATCTTATCGCTAGCGGTAGTAGTAGCGACGTAGCGGCGGCGGTAGTAGTAGCGGAAGATACGCAATCGATAGATATAGCGATAGTAGATATCGAGTCGTAGGAGGAGGTTTAATTAGTAGTAGATATTAAGTCGTAGGAGGAGGTTTAATTAGTCTCGGAGACGCGTATTCGAGGTCGCTATCGCTTACTATCGCTACCTAATAATAGATTAGTATTACCGCGCCCTTAGAAGTATCTATTCTCGCTAAAGGCGCGCTATCGTAGTCCTATACCGCGAGAGTTAGAGTTTCCGTCTTATAGAGCCTTAGAGTTATATATCTACGTATTCGGCAAGTCTACTAGGTACGAGTTTAAGTAATATAAGCTATAGAAGAATAAGAAAGGTATTAAATATCGCTACCGATAGGTCTATAGTTGCTTCGGCTTACTAGATAAGCGTACGTAGAAGTAGGATAACGAGTCGATAAAGCGGAAGTCGACTTTAAAGAAAATAGGCTATAAATTCTTCTTCTATATAGTTGCGGTTAATCTAGTATAACCCGATAGTTAATAGATAATCTAGCATTCTACTAAAGAAGATTACTGTTTCTATAACTACGAGAAGGACGATATTGTCGCTTTTACTATATATAGGTAGCGCTCGAGAACTACGTAGTTCCTAGAATAACTAGAGCGCTTATAGTAGGCGCGAATACTAACCTCGAAGATTATAGCCTACTTCCGCGGTCGTAGTAGTATAGTGCTTAAACTAAAGGATATACAGAACGTTGCTATAACTCGTAATATTGTCGCTCGATAGGAGATAAACTAGGCTTAGCGCCTAGTTAAACTACTAGACGATAATAGTATATTCTACGACATTTATACTAACCCCTATAACGGTGCAATTCGTAGTATAGTTGCCCTCTACCCTAAGTTAATCGAGGCCTTTAAGAAGACACTATATATACTAATTATTAATACTATATACTCTACTAATATCTATAACCTCGAGCTTATAGATATTGTCGCTACTAGACCTATAAACGATACTATTAAGCTTAGTATTAGTCTTATTAAACCGAAGCCGGAGAAAGCGGAGTTTGTAAGGTTGCTATAGTTACTACAAAAGGGCCTCGAACAAGCCGACTATAGTATACCCTTTATTATTAGTACTAATCGTAAAGAGTTACTAATCTACGCTATTAAGGAGGTTATACCTAAGGCTACTAATATCGTCTATAACTAGTATCTATAGTAGGATATACTAACGCGTGTCCGTAAAGAACGTAGCGAGTATAGATAGGTAAAGGGCGCTAACGGTTACTAGACTAACAGTCCTTAAACTAGCAAGTTTCTATAGCTATTTACCTATACTATCTATAGTTAAAGCGAGGCCGAGTTTAACGAGAACGTACGGAAATTAGACAACGTATATCCTATATTTAAGGCCTATCTAAATAATAACTAGTAGCGATATAAGACCTATATTGTCGACTACTAGACTAACTAAGTTCTATACTTTAGCTATAAGACAACCTCTTAGGTTAAGGCTACATATAGACGTATTAAACGCTAGCTTAACTATAGCAGCCGCTACGATATCTTTACGTTATTTAAGAGCCTTCTTAACTAGTAGAACGAAGGGCATAACTGCCGCTATATCCGCCTTACTAAGAACCTAAAGAGATGTAATAAGGCACTTACTAGACCGTTTTAGGCGAGCGTTTCTCGAGTTATAAGCGATTACTGCCTTCTCGAAGTACGGATTTAATACTAACGTGCTAACGACCTCCTTCGTACTACGACTAACAATAATAGTAACGAGATTAAGTACTCGGCGTACTCGTATTCCTACCTATACTACCGCTATAACGACTACCTAAGTAAGACCTATAGTTATCCTTACAAACACGATATTATAAAGCTTCTCGAAATAGGCGGAAGCCGCGCTATACTACTACCGAGTTACTTCTATAGACACTAGCTAATTAACTTCCGTAGAACGGTTAATCTATAAAAGCCGGAGGTAATCTTTAGCAACCGTAAACCTCTTACTAGCGGAGCTATACTATATATAATAAAGCGCGCTACGATAGTACGCGAATTAGACGACCTAAATAAGACAGCAGTCGCTAAGCGATAGAAGACAGTAATAGCTAGAACGACCGAGTTTATACTCGAGCCTAGCGTATTACTTACTTAGCTAAGAACGACTATTAAGTACTATAAGTGCGTTAAGAGCTAGTGCCGCACTTAATAATACCCTTACTAGAAGGCTAATCGTACGTATAGCTCTACTTGCTATCTAAGCGGCTTCGAGTGCTATAATCTATAAGTCGAGTCTTTACTTCTAATAGTACTAGAACCTCCTTCTAAGCTAGATTCACTCTGCTAAGAGATTAAAGACCTCCGAGTACGCGAGAACGCTCGATTATAGGTAGAAGAATAACGTACGAGATAGCAAGCAGACTATAACTACTAGTAGGCGGCATTATATAAGTAATAACAACGATAGGCTACTTAGTAATAGTACTAGTAGTCGCTTACTATAAGAAGCTAAGCAAGTAAAGTCTCCTATTATGCCTTAGCAAGCCTATATAACAATTATATAATGTTATTACGTATACTGCGGTACTGTCTCGCTAGCGTAAAGCCTACTTAGCGTATACGCGGAAAAGCTCGGTCGCTCGTATAGATATACTCGGTTGCCGGCTCGGCATATATACTATCCGTACGTAGCCTAGTTAATAGTAAACGCTCTGCCCTATTCTAAGAAAGGCACGGTTTAGTTCTACTTTCTACTATAGCGATTAGTAGAGGGTATTCTATACGTTGCTATATATCTATTTTTTTTATAGTTCTAAACCGTCTACCCTTCGTAGCGGCCTATAGAACCCCGAAAGATAAACGCAAGCGATCCGAATGCGCCCGGCGCGGGAAACGCGTAGAATAATACCCTAGGAGCGCCGATAGCATTAGAAAACGACGCGGCGATATAATAAGACGAAGCCGAATATTAGGCGCGCTAAGAAGCGACCTACCTACGGCTCGAACGATTTCTAGCTAAGTAAGAAGTACTTAGGCTAGAAGTGTAGGCTTAAGAAGCTAAGCGAGAGAATACGCGTCTTTATACCCTTAGGGATGCTAGCGATGCGCTAGCTCCGAGTAGCGGTACTGCCGGCGAGAGTCCTACGAGGACTCTATCCCTAGGCGACGACGAGGACGAGGATAAGGAAGAGTTAGCTAACGAGTCGATTTAGAGGCCTAAATCTTAGAGAGCTAAATCTGTCTCGTATCGACTACCTCTTTCTAGAGGTACGCTAAGCGTAGCTACTATACCTAGTATAAGCTACGTAGTCGCTAGTCTTACGGCTATTAAGCCTCGCCTAAAGGAACCTAAGCCCTTTAAAGGCAATACGATTAAGGAGTCGAGGCGATTCCTTCGAGAACTTTCTATTACCTTTATACTGTCCGGAGCTACCTATTATATAGACGAAAGCAAGGTGCTTTATAGTATTATATACCTCGTAGGCGATACGTAGGAGCGATAGTATAATAAAAAGTTAAAAACAGCCTTAAGGACCTATAAAATTATACCTACTAGGACTTTAAACCCTTCTATCGGGACTGCGTCGGGGACCCTATAAACCGTATACTAGATATAACCCTCGAGTATAAGGCGGCCTATTAGCGTAAGGGACAGTTAGTCTAAAGCTTTGCCCTTAAGCTCGTAGTGCTCGAAGATTAACTTAGCGACTATAGCGAGGAGTATAGGATCCGCTATCTCCTCGTTAAACTCCGAGTCTAGCCGGCGATTCGTAGCGCAATTATTAAATACTATACGGTACTAACGACGCGTTACGAACTTATAGAGCTTGCGACGCGTATCGAGACCCCTAATAAGCCGTCTAGTAAACGCAAGGATCGTAACTATAATAAAACTAGAGATAGTAAAGGTAAGAAGCGTCGATCTAATAGTTAGGCCCGTAAGTAGTAGTTAAATCGCGACCGTAGCGTAGGCGGAAAGTATACGAAAGGCGATAACTTATAGGGCAGGTATAATATTAGTAAGGTCGAATATTATAGCTGTCGCTAGAAAGGCTATTATAAGAACGCGTACCCGAACCGCTATCTCTAGAAAGATAATAACCTTATAGTACGTAAGGTAGCTGCTAACGCTAAAGAAAAGAAGAACGACTCGAAGGCTAAGGGAAAAGACAAGGTACCTCCTAAGAGCTAGGGATAGGTACGGAATCTTAACTAAGTAGCTTAGTAGTAGTAGTACCTACGGGACGCATACGCGGAGTAATCGTTATATAAGAAGGGGAAGTATCTATCGAATGCTTATTAGACGATGCTACTAATATTAATATAGTATCTTAAGAATTCGTTCTATAATACTAGCCTTAGCGGATTGTTAACGCCGTACTACCTAGTACCGATAGTTTCTAGGGCGACCGAGGATACTACTACGGAGCGCATTATTTACGCTTACGGATTGCCGACTCTATAGGCTAAGAACGCATTACTACCGGAGTGTTCTACGCTTTCGAGATACCCCTCCCTAATATTATTCTTAGTAGGCCTTAGAGGCGCGATTAAAAGGTAATCGTCGATAGCTCGATAGATACCTAGACCTATAGGAACGAAGCTATAGCGCGTTCGAT